AAAGGCCCTTACCACTATCCAGTAAATTCTACAAAATCAGCTGCTGCTTTCTCACTCTGATCAGAACCGGCGTCATGAGGCTGAGAGGGGGGAACGCGTATGACAGCACATTTGGCCATGGATGAGCCAGCGTGTCCACTCCCAGTGGTGCGTGCTCGTTTTTTAAAGAAAAGAACAGAGGACATTGCGCGTTTTCGCGCGATGCGAAGAGATCTACGGTCGCACGGCCAAATCTCTCCCACACTCGGTGAAGCACTACGGGGTTAAGCCTCCACTCGACGCAAAGAGGAATTGCCATGGAGAGCAGATCCACTCCCTTGTTTAACACACCTGGCACATGCGTCGCGCGTAAGTACAACAGACGCTCCGTTAACAGTTTGTGGGCCAGTCTGTGTAATGTCACGGAACGAGTGCCCCCTGTTGTAGTACATTTTCACTAAAATATACACTATGCATTATAAATATACTGAATGTTAAATTTATATAATCCAATGGAATAGCTATACTCACAACTGAGGTTGATATGTATGTGAACCAACCTTTAGTGAAGTAGAATTGTTATAGAATGGAACCTGGAGGGATTAAAGTTTTTAAAACATGGTCTGAAGGCCCTGGGAGCAATGGTGTTGGTCTAGACTTAAATGAGCAACCCGGAGTTGCGGGGTCCAGGTGCCAATTCAGCCCCCCATCCCGTCAACGAGGCATCTGTTGTCAGGGTCTTTCTCATTCCCGCCACTCCAGGGAACATGCTCGGGTCTCTCCAGTGACGGAGAGCTAGCAGACATTCTGAGGAAACCCTCACCATTCGCCTGAGATGACATTGTACATCCAGGTTTAAAGGTGTAATGTGTAAGATCGTGCTACTTGCTCCACCTCCATAGGGAGCAGCATTTCACCTCTTCGCTCCTGTCCAGTTAATCATGTTGCTTTCCCCATGTTCCTTATAAATTATATGTGCATTTATTGTTGATAGTTAAAACTGTTGATAGCACTGAAACTTGTAACTTGTAATACAAACAGTATGTTTTGATTTACCTATAAAAAATATGAAGGCTAGTGGATACTGCATGACACATGATTGTCAGGCTAAAGCAGCATGAGGAAGGGATGATGACATTATCAAAAAGGCAGAATAATTAAATAAGGTTTATTACCAGGAAGGTTTTTACTTGCAAGATATTTGAAAGGGTGTTTGGTGCAGTATACAATAAACATTTTAACAGGAAATAACAATAAAATACTGCAACAGTCAAAAAGATAAATATACATACAGTCCCCTCCAAAAGTATTGGAACAGCAAGGCAAATTCCCTTGTTTTTGTTGTTCACTGAAGACATTTGGGTTTAAGATCAAAAGATGAGTATGAGACGAGTTCAGAATGTCAGCTTTTATTTCCTGTTATTTACATTTAGATGTGTTAAACAACTTAGGATATATCACCGTTTGTATTACACCACAGCATTTTTAGGTGAGCAAAAGTAAAGGAACAAATAATCTTAAAGTAAATAACATTTAATATTTGGTGGAATAACCCTTGCTTGCAATAACTGCCTCAAGCCTGCGACCCATCGACATCACCAAACTGTTGCATTCTTCATTTGTGATGCTATTGCAGGCTTTTACCGCAGCTTCTTTCAGTTCATGCTCTATTGGGTTAAGGTCAGGTGATTGACTTGGCCAGTCTAAAACCTTCCACTTTTTTCCCCTGATGAAGTCCTTTGTTTTGTTGGCAGTGTGCTTTGGGTCATTGTCCTGCTGCATGATAAAATTCCTCCCAAATAGTTTGGATGCATTTTTCCATAAATTGGCAGACAAAATGTTTCTGTACACTTCGGAATTCATTCTGCTGCTACAATCATCAGTTACATCATCAATAAATATTAATGAACCTGTTCCAGAAGTGGCCATGCACGCCCAAGCCATGACATTACCTCCACCATGCTTCACAGATGAACTTGTATGCTTTGGATCATAAGCAGTTCCTTTCTTTCTCCACACTTTGGCCTTTCCATCGCTTTGGTAGAGATTAATCTTGGTCTCATCAGTCCATAAGATTGTGTTCCAGAACTTTTGCGGCTCATCTCTGTACTTCTTTGCAAATTTCAATCTGGCCTTCCGATTCTTACTGCTGATGAGTGGTTTGCATCTTGTGGTATGGCCTCTATATTTCTGCTCTCGGAGTCTTCTTCGAACAGTGGATTGTGATACCTTCACCCCTGCACTGTGGAGGTCGTTGGTGATGTGACTTAATGATGTTTTGGGGTTTTTCTTCACAGCTCTCACAGTATTTCTGTCATCAACTACTGTTGTTTTCCTTGGCCGACCTGTTCGACGTCTGTTGCTCAGTACACTAGTAGTTTCTTTCTTTTTCAGGACATTCCAAATTGTTGTGCTTGCTATGCCCAATGTTTGTCCAATGGCTCTGATTGATTTTCCTTCTTTTCTCAGCTTCAAAATGGCTTGCTTTTCTCCCATAGACAACTCTCTGGTCTTCATGTTGGTTTATCCTCTTTAACAAGAAATGCAGTCTTTATAGGTTTAAACCCAGGCCAAAAAGTAGGCTAGTCATGCAGAGCTATTTAATGTTTGAACAATCAACCTTAAAGACAACACCTGGTCAACAAGAAACACCTGTCAGTCACATGTTCCAATAGTTTTGCTCACTTGAAAAATGGGTGGGTTCAGACAAAGGGTGGTATGTCCTGAGTTGTTTAACACATCTAGATGTAAATACCAGAAATTAAAAGCTGACATTCTGAACTCTTGTCTCATACTCTTCTTTTGATCTTAAACCCAAATGTCTTCAGTGAACAACAAAAACAAGGGAATTTGCCTTGCTGTTGCAATACTTTTGGAGGGGACTGTAGATACAGTCATTAAAAAAATAAAACTATGAATAAAACTATGTAAAAACGTGTTGACAAAAACCCTGCTGAGCAGGATTTGCAAAAGATCACAGTATACACAATATCTGTTCTGTGCAGGGATAATACTCCAAGGTGTTACTGTAACGTGTTTGTTGATGATTGATGAGGTCAGACACAGAAGAAAAGGCAGGTGCTGGTCCATCACTGGGGAGGACTGGACTGGAATTCTGGTCCTGATATATATATATATATTCAAACATGTTAGATCTGTTTTGTGTGTATAATAAATAGTAAGGATAGATATGAATGTGCTAAAATAAATACAGTATTAGGCAGTGGATCATGAACCCGCTGATCTCTTTGTCTTACTTGTTAAAGAAAAGTTACTGACGCATCTAGTTGGACAACAGCCGCAGGAACAGGCCAAATTTTACTACATTGCTAAAATGTCTGTCGACATTATCAATCATACATTTATGCTACTTGAAGTGTTTGTCAGTATGGTTTGTCATTTGCACTAATGATACTTTTCGCTTCAGACCAACAGATTAGATGTTATTCACCAGTCTAAAAGAAAAGTTGCAGCTCAGCATCAAACCGCATGTCTTTAGTTGGAGCTGTCTCCAGTGGTGGGAAGCCATACCAGGATTTGCTTCTTTGCTGTTGAATGTGGCTTTTGTTGGAGCGGTCCTTTGGGATGCAGACAATGATCTCTTTCTATGTGCTTCAGCCATCTCTGAATTTCTGTGATGCTTTTTTTTAACCGGGAGCTGTAGCGTAACTTCAAGCCCTGGAGGAAGTTGTTCTTCTTCGTGGTACTGTGCTGAGGGCAGACTGGACGCTACACTGACTCACACAGCATCTAGTGTCATAAAGTGGTATTACAACACGAACCCGGGACGCAGCTAGTTGGTTAGCATGCTCATTTCAGTAGATATCTCTGAAATACAGTAGATGGGGGTCCTGGTCATGACATCATCAAAATGTTCAAAAATTAACTAACACTATCGATAGTATGTGAAGGAGCCACAGTGATGATACTCATATGTAGCTGTTAACGAGTTAGCATCTTTCAGATCAGCAGAAACTTTTCTGACCTTGTCCATTTTCACACAGGTCACATTTCACACTTAGCTGATGAAGGGTAGATAGGCTATTTATCCTTAAGTCAGCTGTTAGAAAATGCTTTCTGCTCTCTCATTAAGTATGTCCGTTAATATTTCAGCCTGGGTTCATACAGTAAACTGGAGACAGCTGTGTTGTGTTTACAACTGCATGTGTTGGCCTGAGGTCTGTACTACAAAGCAGGATTTGAGGTTAACCAGGTAACTTCAGGTTTAACTCTGGGTAATCAGTCGGACGACAGAGGTTCACTTGTGACCAGGATAAATGACCATGGTAACTTATGCTGAATTCCTAAGCTGCTCCGGAGCAGGTTAACTTCAGAGGATCAAACCTGTCAACAATCGAACTACTGACCAATCAAATTACTGGAAAAACAGATTCATCATTCCTACAGGATCCTGACAGGGACAAAAGAGTTCACAATAAAGTGATCAATAATAGCGAGCAGTAAATATGAAATCAGTCGAATAGTTTTCCATGTGTCCACTCTGGTTTTAAAACAAAGCTTCTAAAAAAATGCATTGAGAGTTTATCGCTAAATACACAGCCAAAATAAAAAGCCTATATAATAACTATTACAGCTTCATTTTAATTGAACAAATATTCTTTAATCCGACAGGATTCCTGACAGTGATGAAGCTTTTACTCTCTTTTTCATTACTGCAGGTCAGAATAACATGAGGTCTTTGTTTAGAAAAATTAGCCACACACTGTTAATTATTTCCATGATTATAAATGAACATTTCAGTCTTTCTCATCAGACATCAACTACTTCTCTTTGCTTTCTCTCCTCTCTGCAGCAGCAAGTCTCTGACATTAACTTTAACTGTTTTATCTGCATCTCATGTTCAGAACAGTTTGTTCACTAGACAAAAGAGAGAAAATACTCAAACGTAATAATTCATGCACTTATTTACATTATATATTTAGTCTGACTTTAATAGAAATTATATCTAGACAAGGAAATAATATTTTTTTATTCCAGTCATTGTTTACATTTCACCTTGTTGAATATCACTTTTGGACGTTGCTATAACAATAATAATTATTTACCGTCAAGTATCAGTGTCTCTTCTCATGTCATATTAAGTACTTCATTCATGGTTCAGGCGTTGTTGCTTACAATTAATAACTGCGCCTCTCTCACATGAACGCACCTGTAACTGGATAGGTAAACCCAGGGTTAGCTGAGCCAGTTGATAACCAGCTTTGTAGTACAGGTTATCCAGGATAGCCAATGTTAAGTTCAGTTAACCCAGATAACTAAAAGTTATCCTGGATATGTTGAACTTGCTTCGTAGTACAGGCCTCAGAGGGACTAACATAGAGCTCCACCATGGTTGGTGGTGCTAAAAAAATGTCATGGGGTCATTACAATCAATTTTATTTAATTAATTGTAATTTTATCAATGTTCAGCTGTTCTTCACACAAACAACTCACACTCTTCACTTCTGCTCAATCAGCATGCACACAATAAAGACACAAAATACACAACTACAGTCTGTCTGAAGACCCACAGGTACCATCACCATGGTCTCCGGTGTGGTGGTGGTGCCTTCTGCTGGATGCCAGTCAGTCCCCAGGCTCACAGCTGCTGGTGTGTCCTCACTCATTACAACAGGAGCAATTTTCTACAGTTTACAGTCACCTTCATTTGCACAGTCCGGTTAATGTAGTCTGGATAACCCAAGCCTGATTACTTAATAGTAACATAACTCGTCTCCATATAATCAAGGGACAAGCTGACAAAAGTATAGATGTAGAACTTTCACACAATATCTCATTTATATCAGTGGGCCATAAAACATTGAAATGAGAGAAATTCTTGAAACTGTAAATTATTAATATTTAACATCAACTTTCAATGAAACAGGCACAGAAATTAAATGGAATAAAATCACTTTTCATGTAAATAAACTTAATTACAGTTATAATTCTTAGATTTTTCTGTTGTATTGTGTGTATAAATTGGGAAACAATATCTTTTTCTCTATAGTAATATTCTCTATATCTGCTCTATAGTAATATTTTCCAAGATTATCACTCATTGTTTGTAAGTTTCCTTTGGTGCCTATATAATTTTTTTGTATTTTGTCAACTTTATACTTTGTTAAACTGAGGAGATCATTATTATAGCTGAGTTTGTGCTGAAACAATGTACACCATGTAGGTGTCCTAAACGGTTTTAAGAACAGTTTAATATTTTTGTGTTTGCATAGATATAGCCACATTACATGAAATGGTGCATTTATGTCTGTGTACCTGCCATGCAGCAGAGCTGTTATAGATCTCAGGTCCCTGTTAAACAGCATCAGCATCCAGACTGCTCTGATTCAGTGGTTGTATGAGTGTGCAGTTTGTGTTGTCTGCAGCTAATGTTACAGATGCTACATCTCTACAGTCCAGATGAATGTTTCTATCCATGGAAGCTGGATGTAAAATCACTCCACCATCCAGATGGAGTCAGGGAGCTGCAGGGCATTTTCAGCAGTGATGACTGAGCTGCTGCATGTTATATATAACATGACATTCACTGGGTCAGTGTGAATTCAATGCTCTGCAGCTGGTCCCTGCGTCAAGGTAAAGGACTCCAGGACAAAGGCCCTGCAGATGGGGCAGTGCTGGAAGTGTGATGCACAGCTGTCACACACACAGGCATGTCTGCAGGGCAGCAGCACCCTGTTCACTGCTGCGTTCTGACAAACCACGCAGTCTCTGCCAACCCCCTCCGACCAGCTCTCATCCTCCTCCAGCACCGGACTCTGCTCCTCTCTGCAGGTCTCCTCGGCAGCTTCACTGGGTGTGGAGCTCTGCTCCGAGTCAGGAGGCCAAGAAACCCCCCCGCTGTCAGCTGACATAAAGAGAGGCTGCAGGAGACAGGAGGCAGAGCTGTGACACACGACTACAACTCAAACATAACCGTAATGTCATTGTGATTTCATCAAGGTTACCTCAGGTCAGACTCTGATATTAGAACAGGAAGCCTGCATTGCACAGTTAACAGACAGAGTCTAATGAAAAGACGCCTTCCAGTGGTATTATGGGAAATGTAGCATCCAGCTTTTTTGGAGCCTGACCCACATGATGGACTAAAGGATACCTCAGCCTCTGTCGCACATTTTAAATCTGTCCCTCATGTAGTCCCCTAAATCACTGGAATATGTGTCCATCAGAGGCCCAGAGTTAAAAACATTCTTATAGTGAAAAAGAAGAAGAGTGTTTGCTGTCTCTCTCAGGTTGGATCACTGATGGACTGGACTGTTGAAGTCTAATTGAATGACCATGGTGAGTGTGATGGACGCACGCAGTTTTAACTCGGTGTTAGATTCTGCTGTCTGTTTAGGTCTGACCTGCACACTGAACAGTTTTAGTGGATATTCATCTGTTCACTGTTTATTCAGCATGAATACAAACTGAGAACATAGAGAGGGTGTGTGTAGTAGGATATACTGTGCTGGAAACAAGCAAGACTTCAGATATTCACTCCTTTATGTGAATCTGAACACATGGCCCTGAGAGCTCAACGCACTGCACATGCAAAGACACAAACGCGCTGCAAATTCAGAAAACATCATCGATTTGACAACACATGCTGCAAATACTCACAACACAACGGAGGTGTTTCCAGGGGACACAAGCACGGGAGTGGGGGATACCATGAAGGCGTTCATTCCAACCCATGGCCCTTTGTGCCTCTCTCTCTCTCTCTCTGAACGAAGTCTAAAAATAACTTAAACTTGTTATTCAATCCTTTTAACTTCAAAAGTCACAGTTTGAACAACAAGTGCATCCCAGCCAGGTTCATCACTTTTTAGTGTGAAACATTGTTGTGTTGTGAATTTGAACTGATGAAGATGTTTTCTGAATTTGCAGTGCAAAGAAAATGAATGAATTAGCCGGGAAACTCTGAAAGATCAGCTCAGTCCATTAGCAAAGTTGTGCTAATGTGCTAATTAATGGCTTTACTAATGGTTAATAAGTCATTTACAAATGTTCCACAGATCAGTTATAGGCTGATGGCTGATTAGAAGGTGAGAGACACTGCAAAGCTCATTATTGACCACAGTTGCATCAGCAGATGGATTTCATAGAGGGTCATTAGCTTCTGAATGCCTTGCCTGTTTGGAGTTCACTGACAGCTTTCACAGCAGCAGAAACCAAATGAATTCATCTGAACCAATCTGGTCAGCGTGACAAGAGGAGAAGGTCCACAGTCCTGGTCCTGCATTTCACAGTTGAGCTAAAGACAAACCAGGCTTCAGGGGTCACAGTCTTTTTAGTTCTGTACTCCCTCTGAGCTGCATTGAAGTGAAGATGAAACACTGAGGGACTTGAAGAGGCTCTGATTTGTCCAACTCAGGCTGAAGCCTAATTATCTACAGTCAGACTGTGGATCTGGTCCCCCATCACTTACAGAGAAACACATCTAATCAGGAATCAGCTCACAGTATGAACAGGAGCCAGTAAAGCCTTCAGTGTAATATGGGCCTGTGACTCTTGTATGAAGACTAGTAGACAACATGTTAACCAGTCCTAATGTGTAGAACCCTTCAGAGCCACAGTTCATGACTGCTGAGCTGCCCCACTCTGTGCAGTTACCTGGCTAAACTCACTCTCTCCTCCACCTAACCACAAATTTTGACCGTGAGAGAAAAGGCAGGACATGTCCTACCTTTAACTCGTACATGTGCCCCTGTGAGGTGAGAAGGTACTGAAAGAGAAGACGTGCAGAGAGGCTGTATTTGGCATCAGGAACATGAATAACTGTCACACTGGCCACCTGAAAAAAGAAAGACAGCACAATGACTTCCTCTCTGCTTGTTGTGCTGGGGGATCTTTCCACAGGCGATGAGTGAGATGGGACTCATGCTGTAGTTTTAGTCTTGATGAGATGCTGATGGCAGTGTGATCATTTGACTCCGCAGCCAGCAACAGGTCAAACTGCTGATGAAGATGACTGAGACCTGACTGGGATGGAACACGTGTGGGCTGGAGTCAGTACACAGATGTGACTGTTTTCCCTGATGGTGCTTTGGCACCTCTGTACACAATCACACCTCTTCATTCTCAACTGACTCAACAACAATCAGCAGACACTCAGATGGACTCACAATGTTGTATGTGTCTCTAGCTTCTGGCTCCGCCAGTGTCAGCACAGCCACAAGAGGGTAGCGTTCCCTTGGCATCTGTCCAAAGTCTGTGATCCCGTGTTCAGCAGGAATCTGTGTGTGGCGTTCTTCGCTGTCTTCACTGCTGACACTGGGTGGGCGGGGTCAAAGAGGCTAACCAAGTAGCTAATTTAGGAGCAATAAATGTCAGCCAAACAAAGGAAGGTCTCAGCCATCAGGAGAATGTCACTGTAATAATATGACAGCACTGCTGTTGCTGCTGTTATAGTAGTACTGTGTCAACATTATTAAGGAAACATCCACCTCAAAACCTCCAAGACTGTTATACCAACACACACTGGGGACCCGGGCTGCGGTGGAAAAGTCAAAATAATCTCCTCTCTAACCACTTCTCCTCAACCCTTGATGGAAAACGTAATGAGGTCAAAAATGTGAAGGAGAATTCACAAGGACTTGGGAAAAAAATCTGACTGCACTGACACCATTTTTTTTTTAACTAACTTTATTTATAACTCATGGAGGATAAATCCTTCTTTCCTAACCACAAAACACAACAAACAAGACTGAAATAAGAAAAATTAAAAGAATATACAAATATAGAAAGTTGAGCCATTAAAATAATAATTAAATCGAAATAAGGAACTGAACAAGAGATCAGAATAAATTATATTCAGACAGAAGTATATAGTTTTCTGTCATAGGAATTGTTTAGTAGAGAAAATTCATTTTTAGTGTTTTACACAATGAGAGAGGATTTAGTGAAACAACATTTATGTATAGACTATATTAATTAGTTGTGATGATATTGTTAACTATAAATTCAATCTGCTTGTTCTTCATGACGACTCCTTACTGATTTAAAGAGAATTAATCTACATTTATGGATTTGGGCTTCAATCGATCAGAAAAGTATTTTCATGTTCTGGATCGTGTCACAAACATAAAGCAGTTGTTCTTATGTTTCTACATTTATGTGGCTCTGCTGTGAATTTTGGCGCAGCATTTCGCCTTTCCTCTCATAAAGGAAGGTCCAGTGTTTCCAATGCTAAAGGACATAAGATAGGAAGCACTGAAGCTCCTTTCCTCATCACTTAGAGAAGTGGACCAGCTGTGATCATGGTTGCTGCTCAGATACTTCAGCTCATTTCACTCAGTTTGAACCTTCCTATAAAAAAAAGACTTTTTGACCACAGCCCTGTTCCCACAGCCCTGGCCAAACATGAGCATGACATCTCCTCAGGATATTTCAAAAACAGAAAATCAGCCATATGCTCGTCTGCATGGAGAAAACAGAAGAAGATGAACTGACCCTGTAAGGTTATAACAATGTACTCAGAGACACTGTTGAGGATAAAAAGAAAACAAGATGAAAAAGATTCAATACGTTAAAAAAGAAAGGGCGTTCGTGGAGAAGGTGAGAACAGGGGATATTCTCAGATAAGCTGCTTTCCTGTGAGTCTTTGTTTAGCAAGTAAAGGATACTGGAAGCTCTGGCAGTGGTGGTAGCGCAGGTGCAGGGCCTCCTGGAAATCCTGGGGGGTGCTGAGCCTCGAGCTGTACTGGTGAGTCTGCAGTGCTCCCTGCAGGGCGCTGACCTCACAGCCCCAGAAACAGCTCAGGACACAGGGCTCAAGGCAGCAAGGCCTCACTGATGTGCCATCTGAAAGGGTACGTTTGCTCATGTCACTGTGGCTGGGACGTAAAGAATGAGGATACGACTGATGGTAATGATGGATATTATATACAGACTGGGTTTCACAACCCTACATATTTAGCTGTTCAACTGTTCAACTGGTTAGCTGTTCAGCTGTTCAACTGGTTCATTGGCGATTTTCAAGTGATCACATGAGCGTGTCCAACTCCACAACAGACACAGAACAGATATGATGTCTGTAGTGAACTGAGCAGCACTTACTGTGGCTTTACATTGTACCGATTCATTTACAGTCAGTTGTACACTGAAACAGCAGAGATGATGACACATCCCCACACTTTAACTCCAGGTTAGGTTAACTCCACCATCCTATCACTGAGGATAACTGTTCTCACCTGTGACAGATGCCGCTCTAGAGCCCAACTCCAGGGCGAAGGGATTGATCACCTGAACCATTTGCTTCTCAGGGGTTGGTAGGGCAGACTCTGTCTCATCAGAGCTGCGAAGAATCACTGGCACATCAAAGCCAAACCTGAGGGACAGAGACAGTGTACAAATGTTCTGCATCACTCTCTTCTCCCTCAGTCATCTTTATCTTCTGTTTATCAGACCCACTGACTTCACTGATCTGATCTTCTTCACAGCAGCTGTGTTCCAGTGTTGTGAGATCTGGTGTGTGGACCTCTGTCAGCTTCACACCACATCCAAAATGAGGGATCGGCTGTCATTAAGTGTAGTGGGGCATATTCCTAAACCCTCTGCACGTGATGTCTCATAGGCTAACCTTGCTGATCGATCCACAATCTATCAATAGTCTCAATATAAAGTCTGGTTTAGTCTTGTCAATAGGACTGATACCAAAACAAAACAAAAAGGATTCATCACGTTAGACCCACAGTGCATTTCTCTGCTGCTGCTGTGTGCAGTGGTCACCTCTGTAGCCCAGACAATTCACAGCAACATAATTTTATTTTTTAATAGAAACATAATTCGTGTTCAATCATTGTATTTGAACCCGAATGTACTTTAGTGATAAGCAGAGAATAATGCTTGACCGTTCATTTCGAAGCCCATTAATGATTCAGCTCATTAATCCCACATGATAGAACACTGGCTGCTGATGACATCCCTGCTCTTACTTTATAGGGTCATTATGACAAAACGGCGAGGAAAAGCAGTTTAATGTATGAAGTCAGGCTGCTGCGACTGCTGCAGGGGCTGTGGCTAAGCTAACTTGGCTAAATGTAACTTACCAGCCGAGCACCATGGCAGCTGTAACAAGGAAACACAGAGAAACCACACTTATGTAAAACAGTGGGGAGTACTCATACAGGGTCACCAGGAAGACGGCTGCCATTTCACATTATCTGTTCCGAGAGTGAGCAGTTTATTAAAAAGTGTCCTGGTAAACTCGCTCCATGGCGGCCATAACACGAATCCTCAGATACAACTACGGTGGCCTAAAAGGTACAAGTACACGACAAACACTGGGTTTATTTAAAAAAAAATTAACATTTTTAAATTCCAACAAACTCGAGAACCGCTTTAGGCGAACATGTTGATTTTAATATATTTCCCTGACTGAATTCAGTTCTTATCGTGTTTAGGCTAAGAAATAAACGAGTCAAGCTGCGGCGAACAGGCCAACTTCAAAATAAAATCCCGTCTGGATCAGTGAGCTTGAAAGAGCGGTCATGTTGCTGTGCTATGAAAAATACGAGTAAACCTGCGTGGAAAGTTGTATTTCCACACAATATATACTTTTCTCTATTCTATATGTGTGTGCTTTGCATTGTATTGTAATATTTTTTAAATTCGCCATGGTTCATGCTCGTGGATGTGGAGTTTATTTTGAATGTTTGAACAGGAAGTTGACCCGACAGCGCAGAGCAACTGAGATTACATACTAGCTAGTACATTTCATTGAGCATCCCAGCAGTCATCACGAAAACCGGGGACGGCGTTGTGTCCTGGCGGGGACACATCAGCTTCATGTGCAGTTCAAACGGTCTAGACTTATGTTTTATCTGTAGCTATAATGTTGAGGAATATAGTGGGAATCAGAACAGTTCGGCATACAGATGTTAGCAGCTGTGGAGGAAGAACCCGTTAATCCGATGTAACAGTTTGACGGTGGGGGGGGGGGCATCGCCGGACTGTGAGCAACATGACGGAGAAACCGACTGTCCGCCAGCAGAGCTCGGAGAACAACTCTGTCAGCAGCAGCGAGTGGGACATGGCAAACGATGTGTTCGTGTCTGGCTACGACGACAATCTGCTGCCAGACAGTGCTGCTGTCGGGGACCCGGACCCGGCGCAGCCCGGCTTGGACAGACACCTGCCACTGCTGCCCCAGGATGGCATGATACTGGGCCTGGCTGGGGAGGAATACTCGGGCTCATCGTATCTGGACATCGAGCCAAACTACACCGAGAGTGACGGGAACGTCACAACCAAGAAGCGCATACGGTCCAATAGTTCCCGGCACCGCGGGGACATCGTGACGGAATTGGGACCAGAGGAGGTCCGGTGGTTTTACAAAGAGGACAAGCGGACGTGGAAGCCATTCGTCGGACACGACTCGCTAAAAATCGAGATCCTCTATCGGAGATTCTGCGAGCAAAACCCCGACAAGGTCAAACGCTCCGTCGATCCCACCGAGGCCGAGGGGAGAGAGGCTGCCAGGTCCGGCGACGTCCAGCCGGAGAGCGGGGCCGTTGATAGTGTTAGTGTTCGGGCGGAGCCGTCATTACAGCGGGGAGGAGGGCAGCGGCGCTCGATGTCAGAGGAGACGAAGGACCTGGACGACACCAGCATCATCGTGGAGGCAGTGTGTGTCAGAGGGGGGCTCTACGAGGTGGATATCCGAGAGAAGGAGTGCTACCCCGTTTACTGGAACCGTGAGCAACATTCATGTCCTCAATGATAATCATCGTTTTATTAGCACAGTTAGCATCACCCTGCTGCTAACACCAGCTCTACTGCTACAGAACACTGTTAGAACCAGACCTTGTCCTGTACTGGTAGACCTGCTACCTGCTACAGCTGTCAGTCACACCAAGCTGGACCACCACCAGACTCTGGACTGTTACTAGTAACAACACTGCAAGCCCCACCAGACAGCAGATACAGCACAGTCATTATTACGCAAAGATGTACTCAATACATGAATATACACTTGGTCACATTAACAGTTGATGTAGAAAAACTGAAACACTTTTCACCAATGATGTATTTGTTTTTTTTCCATTCATAGTTTAATGCACCAATATTTCATACTTTCAGACTTGAGGCAGAGGAACAGGAGGAGAAGCTGTTTTCAATTATCTAAACCACTGACTGACTGATCAACCATGTCCACATAGATTCATTAAAGGCCAAGATAACACATAAATCACTGATGGTGACACTTGTAGTTCCCTCACTTCATCTAGCTCTGCTTCAAAAAAGTAAACTAAACCATTATCTGATTATGAAAATGTTGCAAATTAATGTTTTGTTGATTGATCCATTAATCAAATTATGTTCTATGAACATGAAATGAAATTTGTGTTTGTGAAACACGCACACACACACACACACACACACACACACACACACACACACACACACAGCAGAGTGTGTTCACTGTGTTTATCTCCTTATCCTTGATGTTAATTGTCCCTTAGAACAAGACCGTATTCCTGTGATGAGGGGTCAGTGGTTCATTGATGGGACGTGGCTGCCCCTGGAGGAAGATGAGAGTGACCTCATCGAGCTGGAGCACCTCGCTCGTTTTCGGGGGCAACAGATGAGGGACACCTACGAGATGGAGGCAGTGACCACCACAGTGGACAGCAAGGATGGTAAGGAATGGAAGAGACCCAGAAAGGTGTCTGTGTGTGACAGACAAAGAGTAAACGTGTGTGTGTGTGTGTGTGTGTGTGTGTGTGTGTGTGTGTGTGTGTGTGTGTGTTTAACTGCCATTGAGAACAAAACAAGTCAGGTGATTTTATTCTAGCTGAGTGTGGCTGTACCAACAAGATGCTCACCTGAGTGTGTGTACAGTCTAAATCAGTGGACTGTAGTGAACTGGACTTTCACACACACACATACACACACTATACACTCTGATGGGGAATGGTGAAGTAATTATGCCGTCTGAAGTGTGTCCCTGTTAATCACAGTGTGACTGTCTCCCAGCCGTCCACAGTCTGAAGCTGAGCAGGAGTCACGTGGACTGGCACAGTGTGGACGAGGTGTACCTGTACAGCGACGCCACCACCTCCAAGATCGCACGCACCGTCACGCAGAAACTGGGCTTCTCTAAAGGCATGTGGAAACATGTCACACCACACATTAATATAATAGAATACAATATATAATAATACTAACAGCTGAAACATGTCTGTCTGAGCTGACAAATGCCTTTAAAGGGTCAGTTCACCCAAACTACTAATAAATAAACAGCTATTTTTCTGTAGCACAGTCTCAGAGTCCTAACATCAGTATAACAAGCTGCTGCCTTCATCCTCAGCTTCACTCATCATCATATTTCATCTCCTCAGCACCCACAGCAGAGCAGCCCCTGAGCTGTTTGGTATGAACGTTGGGTAACAGGGAAAATGTTAGTGTTGATTTTTTAAATGTAATTTTACTGTCATCTCCTCCTCTGCACTGGGTGGAGGTTCAGAGGGAGGGAGGAGGGGAAATCTGTGGTTGTGTCATTTGGGTGAACTGACCATTTATTTATTGATGCAGGACTACATACAACAGACTCAGGTGTAGATTTTCTCACAGTCATTACACACCGAGCTCTAAAGGGTTGTTCTGTGCATCGTGGCCTGTATTGACCCATTGGAATATCAGGGTCATATGTACAGTTACGTGATTTGCTTGCTGATGTAGATGGTTTCAGAAAAAAGTGAATTTTGGCCCATTTAGTTAGCACATAACATGCTGGCTAGTAATGTTCTCTCTGGTCTCCTCAGCCTCCAGCAGCGGGACACGTCTCCATCGGGGGTACGTGGAGGAGGCGGCACCTGAGGACACCCCACCTGAAACCACACATATTGTTTTCGTGGTGCATGGCATCGGCCAGAAGATGGACCAAGGCCGCATAATCAGGAACACCAGCATGTGAGATATGCAGGTTTGCAGTGGGAACACATAGAGCTGACTGGAACCACAATCATTGTTGAAGTAACTGTTTTATCTTGGCTGGTGTGCAGGATGAGAGACGCTGCCAGGAAGATGGAGGAGAAGCACTTCTCTGATCGCACCACAGAGCACGTCGAGTTCCTTCCTGTGGAGTGGAGGTCAAAGCTGGCTCTGGATGGAGGTATGCTACACTTAAGCACACACTGACCCACCTCTTCACCCTTTAAAACAGCTGCATTCAGTATCAGGTAAAACCAGACACACGCAAGGTGATTTGATCATAAGTTCAGGTGTGAACACACCCTAGACACATTGAGGACGCATTTGAGATCGGATCACTTAGACCACATTCTTTTAGCAGTGTGAACGTGAATTAAAGAAGTGTGTCACCCTCTCATCCTCCTATTGTTTTGATGGAAACTTCACCACAGAGTTCAGCAGATGGTCAGAGCACCTGACACTTGGTGAATAACACGGCACACAGCTGATCGATGGACATGAAATACTTCACAAATAATTGACTGGAAAGATCCCTTGGCATAAAACCACAGAGCATCATTAACTGTAAAGGAGCTGGCGAGCACAGCTGAGAAAAGTGTAGTGATGAGCTCTAGACAGTCGGACAAATCATGAACTTACTGCTGATCAAATCTCGTCGTCGTCGTCTCCCGCTTATCCGGATCCGGGTCGCAGGGGCAGCAGCCTCAGCAAAGAGGTCCAGACAGCCCTCTCCCCAGTCACTTCCACCAGCTCCTCCAGGAGAATCCCGAGGCGTTCCAAGGCCAGCCGAGAGATATAATCCCTCCAGCGTGTCCTTGGTCGGCCCCGCGGCGTCCTCACCAGATGCCCGAACCAGCTCAACTGGCTCCTCTCGACATGGAGGAGCAGCGGCTCTACTCCGAGTCCCTCCCAGATGACCGAGCTCCTCACCCTATCTCTAAGGCTGAGTCCGGCCACCCTGCGGAGGAAACTCATTTTGGCCGCTTGTATTCGCGATCTTGTTCTTTCTGTCATTACCCAAAGCTCATGACCATAGGTGAGGATTGGAACGTAGATCGACCGGTAAATCGAGAGTTTCGCCTTCCGGCTTAGCTCCCTCTTCCCCACAACGGACCGGTTCAGCGCCCGCATCATTGCTGACGCCGCCCCAATCCGCCTGTCGATCTCCCGTTCCATCCTACCCTCACTTGTGAACAAGATCCCGAGATACTTAAACTCCTCCACCTGAGGCAGAGCCTCCCCCCCGACCTGGAGCGGGCAATCCACCCGTTTCCGGCTGAGAACCATGGCCTCGGACTTGGAGGTGCTGATCTTCATCCCAGCCGCTTCACACTCGGCCGCGAACCGCCCAAGCGAGAGCTGAAGGTCGGTGCTCGATGAAGCTAAGAGGACCACATCATCCGCAAAAAGCAGAGACGAGATCCTCCCGCCACCGAACCCAAACCCGTCCACCACCCGGCTGCGCCTAGAAATTCTGTCCATAAAAGTTATGAACAGAACCGGTGACAAAGGGCAGCCCTGGCGGAGTCCAACCCTCACCGGGAACAGGTCCGACTTACTGCCGGCTACGCGAACCAGGCTCACACTCCTTTGGTACAGGGATTTAATGGCCACTAACAAGGGGCCATCCACCCCATACTCCCGGAGTGCCCCCCACAGGGAGCCCCTGGGAACACGGTCGTAAGCCTTCTCCAAATCCACAAAACACATGTGGACTGGATTGGCAAACTCCCATGCTCCCTCCAGCACCCTAGCGAGGGTAAAGAGCTGGTCCACAGTTCCACGCCCAGGACGAAAACCACATTGCTCCTCCTTGATCTGAGGTTCAACTATCGACCGGACCCTCTTTTCCAGTACCCTGGCATAGACCTTACCATGGAGGCTGAGGAGTGTAATTCCCTGGTAGTTGGAACACACCCTCTGGTCACCCTTCTTAAAGATGGGGACCACCACCCCAGTTTGCTACTCCAGAGGCACTGCCCCCGATGTCCATGCAATGTTACAGAGGCGTGTCAACCAAGATAGTCCTACAACATCCAGAGCCTTGAGATACCCAGGGCGGATCTCATCAACCCCCGGGGCTCCGCCACCACGCAGTTGTTTCACTACCTCGGCGACTTCTGCCCCGGAGATTAGACCATCCATCCCCAGGTCTCTTGACTCTGTTTCCTCCACAGAATACATGTTGGTGGGATTGAGGAGCTCCTCAAAGTATTCCTTCCACCGTCCGACTATATCCTCAGTTGACGTCAGCAGCTCCCCGCCCCCACTGTAAACAGTGTGAGCGAGTTGCCGCCTTCCTCCCCTGAGGCGCCGGACGGTTTGCCAGAACCTTTTTGGAGCTGATCAATAGTCTTCCTCCATTGTCTCACCGAACTCCTCCCACGCCCGAGTTTTTGCCTCAGTAACTGCCGCGGCTGCGCTCCGCTTGGCCCACCGGTACCAGTCAGCTGATTCCGGAGACCCACAGGCCAACCACGCCCTGTAGGCCTCCTTCTTCAGCCTGAAGGCTTCCCCCACCCCTGGTGTCAACCAGCGGGTACGGGGTCACCGCCACGACTGGCCCCAGCTACCCTGTGGCCGCAGCTCGCAACAGCCGCGTCAACAACAGCAGAGCGGAACAAGGCGGACTCAATGTCCCCCACTGCCCTCGGGACGCGATCGAAACTCTGCCGGAGGTGTGCTTTGAAAATCATCTTGACGGGTTCTTCCGCCAGGCTTTCCCAGCAGACCCTCACAACCCGTTTGGGCCTGCCAGGTCTGCGCAGCGTCTTCCCCCGCCATCTGATCCAACTCATCACCAGGTGGTGGCTCCAGGGCGGGGCCCCGGTGTCCCTCCGGGCCGGGTACTCGGGTTCTTGATATTTCTTATCATTAGGATCTTCTGAACCGTTCTTCGTCTGGCCCTTCACCTGGGACCAATCTGCCTTGGGAGATCCTACCAGGGGCAAAATGCCCCTGACAACATAGCTCTTAGGGTCATTAGGGCTCTCAAACTCCTCTACCACGGTAAGGTGATGGTTCAAGGAGGAGCTGATCAAATCTATAGAGCAAAATCAATTCCTCTCTTTGAGGGTCCATCAGGTTCTTCTGATTGCGGAAAACTCTTGTTGACATGCTCATCCTCTTCATTTATCACCATAAAATCAGACATGTTGCAGTTAAGACAGAGTCAGAGGTACCTTACGTTTTTTATTTCCTTAGTTTGGTCAGGAAGGTCTTCCGTGCAACAGCTTAACTGACTTTAAGTGATTCCTTAAGCATAAACTAAGAGAAGGAGAAATCCTTAAATACTTAAGTGAACATTTTAAGGAAACCTTAAATTGTACATTTTGGAAAATCTTAATTTAAGATGCTTTTTGCAACTGTTCCCTGGTCCTTTCTTTTTCTTTGCTCCCTCTTGGGCATATCTTCCAAAAGCAGAGGGTGATTTATCATAGCTACACAGACAACAAAGATTTATTTTAGATCTTTCACCAAATGATTTCAGCCCCATTCTATTTGGGAACAAAGAAGGAAGGTTGTAACTTAGTGCCTACCTGGAGTCTAGAGCATCAAAGACTTCAACCCATGTTAAACATCTGGGTGTTATCATGGTTGGGGATCTTAGTTTTAGTGACCACATAATAGCTTTAACTAAATTTGTGTTTTGGCATCTCAGAAACAGCTAGTGTCAGAGACTGTGTCTTACCAAAACTTAGCAAAACTTGTTCATCCCTTTATGTTATATCTTCCAGAGCTGATTACGGCAACGCTGTCCTCACTGGTTCACCAAATAAGACTATTAGACAGCTGCAACTTATTCAGATGCTGCTGCTGGGTTCTGACTAAAACTAAGAAAAGAGAGCATGTTACTCCAGTTCTCAGGTCTGACTGGCTTCCAGTCAGATACAGAGTTGACTTTTTGTCTACTAGTTTCTACATAGTCTGGGCCCTAAATATATTTCTGAAATGTGCCAGCTTTATAAAAAATAATCTAAGGTCTCTAACATCTGCAGGAGATGGTCACTTGGTGGAGCCCTGTGTTTAAGATAAACAGTGTGAAATGTCTTTCAGCCACTGTGCTGCCCCCCGCTGAAACCAGCTGGAACCAGCTCCCAATGGATCAAATCAAATCTGCCCAAACTGTAACTGACTTTAAAAAGAAGCTAAAAACTGATCTGTTCTCCTCAGCATTCATTTAATGTTTTAATCCTGCATTTTAATGATGTTTTATAATCTGTTTTTACAGTTTTCTAACTATTCTTTGTTATGCTTCTTTTATTTCTGTTGAGCATTAAATGACCTCTCTGTATGATGATGTGCTGTATAAGTAAAATTTGCCTTTGTTCTGTGGAGTAGGGATCTCTTTGTTCCACCAGTGCAGGGCACAGCAGAGACGCCCGATCACCAGGTTAACAATGACACTGGAAATACTGAGTTCAGGCAGGAAGTTGAGAGGTAGAGGATTGTGGGAAACTGAGCCCATGTGAAGTCTGTACTTCAGAGTCAGTGTTTTATCAGAAGAAGAAACAGACGGTTGTGTTGGTGTATTTGTGTATTGTCCTGCAGACACAGTGGACTCCATCACTCCAGACAAAGTGCGAGGTCTCAGAGATATGCTGAACAGCAGCGCCATGGACATCATGTACTACACCAGCCCCCTGTACAGAGACGAGGTGAGCCTGGCACTACACACCCAGCCTGAGGTGGCGCCTCGCTCTGACTCCTCACAGCTATGGTGCTAGTGCTGGTTTGGGAGCAATAGTCTCATGAGTCTGAATCAACTCCGAATCCTTAATCCTGACTAAGATATTTTCATTCAACTGGGTTGTAGCTCTGAATTATGGCTGTGAAATAACAGATGAATGATGGAGACTCTGAGGCAGCAGACATGACTTATTATGTCTTATTAACACAATTAAAAATGGCAAATACCCCACCGTGTGTGTATGTGTGTTGTTGTTGTGTGTCTTTGTGTGTGTGTGTGTGTGTGTGTGTAGATTACCAGGGGTCTGACTCTGGAGCTGAATCGTCTGTACTCACTCTTCTGCTCGCGGAATCCAGACTTTGAGAAGAACGGGAAAGTGTCGATAGTGTCGCACTCACTGGGTTGCGTCATCACCTTCGACATCATGACAGGCTGGGACCCCGTTCGCTTCCATCACCAAGAAGCGCCAGACCCAGAGGAGACGAAGGTCCGCTGGCCGAGTGACGAAGAGCGCCACCTTCAGGAGCAGCTGAGACTCACACACCTCAGGTACTGCATGCTACTATTCTGGAACAGGTGTGGAGTTTGATTCCATCTGTGTTGTGGCATAAAATGCACCTGAAGGTTTAAGTGACTGATATATAAGCAGAGGTAAGATTTACTAGTTTTCAGAACCTGGAGTGGACAAAGTTCACCTCCAATCAAACCATTGGAACAATTATAATTTCTATCAGTACTAACAGAACTGTGTGAACATGGTGCCTGAGGCGTAGGGGTTCACAAGTAACTGTACACTAATTTCTTTGGCAGAAGTGAGAGTGTCCATTAGACTAAGGTGGAGTTGTATGTCAATATGAGGAGTGAACAGGTGAATGTGTTAGTGAAGAAGAATACTGAGGCTCAAAACAATCTCTCAGATTCTCTTTCTAAACTTGAATCACCTCCTTGTGGTTGTTTACTCCACTAACCAGCCAAGTTACATGAAATATGAACACAGTCTCTCCTTCCTGAGTCACAGTGTTGAATAATGACCAGAAGTGTTTTGCAGAACATTATGATGTCATGGTGAAGTTGACCTTTGACCTTTTGGATATAAAATGTGAACACTTTGTTTTATCCTTATAGACATTTGAGTTAAATTGTGCCATAATTAGTAAATTAATTCATCAGTTATGGCCAGAAATATGTTTTGTGAGGTCACAGTGACCTTTGACCACCAACATCTAATGAGTTCATCCTTGACTCCAAATTGTGCCAAATTTGAAGAAGTTTGAAGATGATAAAGTAAAATCTTGACTGAATTTTTTTTAATTGACACCTAGTAATTAATGATTTTAATCTCTGTGTATCATCCAAACAGGCTAAGGGACCTGGAGGATCAGTTCCAGGGACTACAGACCTCGTCATGTGTCGCAGTGCCAGCCTTGAGATTCAAGGTAATGCTGAAAAGTTGAATTCTACTGTATCACCAGCACATGTTGTAGATGTGATTCTAACTACTGACCTGATCTAACGTGGATCTTTTGTTTTCAATTACAGACCTTCTGATTTAAATTACAGACCTTCTAATTCTACCTACACACTTTCAGATTCTAACTACAGACCTTCTGATTTAAACTACAAACCTTGTGATTCTAACTACAGACGTTCTGGTTTAAACTACAGACATTCTGGTTCTAACTACAGATCTTCCGATTTCCACAACAGACCTTCTGAGTTAACTAACAAACCTAACCTTCTGATTTAAACTGCAGACCTTCTGATTCTAACTACAGACCTTCAGATTTAAACTACAAACCTTCTGATTCTAACTGCAGACCTTCTGATTTAAACTACAGCCATTCTGGTTCCAACTACAGATCTTCTGATTTAATCTGTAGACCCTTGATTCTAACTACAGACCTTGTGATTCTAACTACAGACCTTGTGTTTCTAACTACAGACCTTCTGATTTAAACTACAGCCATTCTGGTTCCAACTACAATCTTCTGATTTAAATTACAGACCTTCTGATTCTAACTACAGACATTCTGGTTCCAATTGCAGACTTTCTGGTTTTAACTACAGACTTTCTGGTTCTAATTACAGATCTTCTGGTTTTAACTACAGACTTTCTGGTTCTAACTACAGATCTTCTGATTTAAACAACAGACTTTCTGAGCTCAACAGCAAACCTTGTGATTTAAACTGCAGACCTTCTGGTTCTAACTACAGACCTTTGTATTGTAACTACAGACCTTCTGATTTAAACTACAGACCTTCTCATTTAAACTGCAGACCTTTTGATTTAAACTGCAGACCTTCTGATTTCAACAACAGACCTTATGAGTTCAACAACAAACCTTGTGATTTAAACTGCAGACCTTCTGGTTCTAACTACAGACCTTCTGATTGTAACTACAGACCTTCTGATTGTAACTACAGACCTTCTGATTTAAACTACAGACCTTCTCATTTAAACTGCAGACTTTCTGATTTAAACTGCAAACCTTCTGATTACGACTGCAGACCTTCTTTATTTAAACTACAGCCATTCTGGTTCCAACTACAATCTTCTGATTTAAATTACAGACCTTCTGATTCTAACTACAGACATTCTGGTTCCAATTGCCGATCTTCTGATTTAAATTACAGACCTTCTGATTCTAACTACAGACATTCTGGTTCCAATTGCCGATCTTCTGATTTAAATTACAGACCTTCTGATTTAACACACAAATCCTCTGATTCTAACTAGAGACCTTGCGATTCTAACTACAGACCTTCTGATTTAAACTGCAGACCTTTTGATTTAAACAGTAGACATTGTGGTTCTAACTGAAGACCTTCTTATTTCAACAACAGTCCTTCTGAGTTCAACAAGAGACCTTTTGATTTTAACTACACACTGAGTCATACTACAGATCTTCTCATTCTAACTACAGACCTGAACTAACCACAGACCTACTCATTCTAACTACAGACCATTCGATTTAAAATACAGACCTTCTCATTTCAACTACAGACCTTCTGATTCTAACTACAGACCTTCTTATTCAAACTACAGACCTTCTGATTCTAACTACACACCCTCTGAGTCTAACTACAGACCTCCTGATTCTAAATACAGACCTTCTGATTCTAACTACAGACCCTCTGATTTAAACTACAGATCTTCTTATTCTAACTACAGACCCTCTGATTTAAACTACAGATCTTCTTATTCTAACTACAGACCCTCTGATTTAAACTACAGATCTTCTTATTCTAACTACAGACCCTCTGATTTAAACTACAGATCTTCCAATTCTAACTACACACCTGAACTAACTATGGACCTTCTGATTTTAACAACAAACCTTCTCTTCTCTCTCCCTAGAAGCATCGCAATCACACAGTATGGACACAGACTGCTGCAGAGTACTTAACAGAGGGTTTCATTTCTTACTGTGGTGTAAATAATTACTTTTCAACACCTCCTGAGCAGGTGGTAGTGATGCAGACCTTCCCGTCTGTTTTTATTTTCCACTCATTGGTTTCAGTTGTTCCCACTCTTTGTTTTATAGTAGCTTGAGTGGAGAATGAGTTGAAATCCATGAAGCAATCACAGACTTTATTCAAATTAATAACTGTCCTAAGAAGATTTGGGGTGGGGGTCTCAGTCGTTTTCTCATGTTGGATCTACCCCACTCTCTGTGCTGCAGGTGGAAAATTTCTTCTGCATGGGCTCTCCTCTGGCTGTGTTCCTGGCACTGCGAGGGATCCGACCTGGAAACAACGGTGTGCAGGACCACATCCTCCCCACTACTATCTGCAAACGCCTCTTCAACATATTCCATCCCACAGACCCTGTGGTGAGATCCACTACCCACAGATGTGTGTGTCATTCGTGTCACATTTGGATGCAGCTCTGTGGGAATGTTCTATTATACTACAAAATAATGAAAACTAAAGGACATGCTGACAGTTATATTATACTCAAATTACAAAAAGAAAATACCTTCATCAAGTGTTTATCCTCTTTTCAGGCATACAGATTGGAGCCTCTCATCTTAAAACACTACAGCAACATTGCACCTGTTCAAATCCACTGGTATGTGTTCTGGTTTTATATGAGACATAATGTGCTATTTGTATACGATTTCCTATGAATTTAGCAGATCAGTAGAGGCTGTGATGTTGTCCTCTTTCTCTCTGTTATCAGTTTACAGTAAGAGTAATGGTATAATGAGCTGGTATAAACTAGTAGTAATTATCAGCTATAGTGTTTAATGAAGTCACAGCTTCAGACAGAATGAGGACTAGAGTCAGTGACCTGAGCTTGATGTGGATGTGATGTGCAGGTATAACACCACCAGCCCAACACCGTATGATCAGATCCGGCCCACACTGCTAAACCCCCCAAAGGAGACAGCGTCCGTCTCAGACTCAGAAAGCATCCCCAGCCCCTGCACCTCCCCCCCACAGGCTCGTCGGCACTACGGAGAGTCTATTACCAACCTGGGCAAGGCCAGCATCATGGGTGAGCACACAGAGAGGGTCACAGCTGTGTGGATGGCAGATGCAGTAGGACATGATACAAGTGGCAGAGCTCTCACTTTTTATTTCAATTCAAACTTTGGAAATTTCCTGCAAATGTAACAGCCATTAGCTGAGACCCTGACAGGCTGAAAGTCTCTTTTGTCACTCTCTTAAGAACATTCAGTTCAAACTTGTGTAGGGTGGGTGCAGGTCTTAAAAACCCTGCCAAATATAGTGATTTACAATTACTTAAAGCCCCTCTCTACTCAAAAATGTGTTTTTCTTCTTGTTCTAGAGTTGAATGTTTGAGCTTCACTGTGCAGAACGATATATGTGCAGACTTTGATCCTCAAAAGCTGCTTTCACGTTTATCTGCTATGATAATTTGTGACATCACAAATAGTTTAGAAGCCAGTTGTGGTCCGGTATTCAACTTACACAAGTGTGATGTGGAAACTTGAAGCCCCCAGCGCACATACATTGAGAATGGACTGTTCAGTGAAGTAGGAGACATATTGTGTCCTTCTATTAAACTTTTGGGGTGACATAAATATTTCTTTGATTATGGAATTTAATTAAATTTATTTTAATTTAGGCTTGGATGTCATTTTAAGGATTTTAACAAGACACACTTTTTTGTGTAAAAACTATATCAGACACATTATTCAAAGAAAAGTATTTTATATACATCTATAACATGCCTTGAAGGAATCTTTTATGATTGAATTGTGTTTGTCGTCATTTCTTTACATCAAAAATTGATAACTTAATTGTGATAATAATCACAACTAGAAAATTCCTGGAAAAATTTTTAATGTGCCTGCTGCTTGGTGCGTGTACTTCAACTCACGTTTAAATCTGTACAAAGGACGTTACTTTCAGTTTCATTCATGTTGTAGAGACTTATCCTGACACTGACCTCAGTCACTGCAGGTGTCCCTCAAAAAGCCTTTTGAAGCTGTCACGACTGGCCAAAATAACCTCACACTGATGGTTTCAAACCCAAATTTGTCCCCACAACCATAGCAAGACATGTATACACACATGTACATGTCCTAATAGAAGTTGATCTGCAATAAAGCTATACAACTATATCCCCATATAGATGATAGCTTCTAAGAGAACTTTATTACCTACCTTACAGTTTACGTTTTTGAGACTCTTATTTTGAAAGTGTCTGTGCTTCTGTGTTTGGCAGTATAAATTGCATAAGGTTTTGTACAACAGAGCCAATAATTCCCTTTTACCACGTTGAGACTTTTATTTTGAACATTAATCCAAATCGTGGTGACTGTGTTTGTGTCAATATGTGTGTTTGTGTTTTTGCAAGTTTTCATGTGTAGCGGTAGAGCTGCCCACAGAACCTCCAGTAAGTTCATGTTACCCGGTTGAGACTCTTATTTTGAAGGTCGCATATCCAAAAAATAAGATGGTGGTGTGTCAATGTGAATGTGTGTATTGTTGTGTATGGCAGTAGAGCCGTCTACCATAGAGCCTCCAAAAAGCTTGTGTTACCAGGTTGAGACACTTATACAATTATATCCGTATGGTGGTGATGGTGTTTGTGTGTCTTTCAATGTATGTGTGTGCGCATGACGTTGGGAACTGCCAAAGCTTAACCTCCAACAGCCCTTTGAAGTTGTCAGGACTGGCCAAAATGACCTCACAATAATGGTTTTGAAATGGGTATAGTATGGACCCAAGTACAGCACACAACTTGAAATAGTTTGTAATGACCTTTATTTATGAACCAGTAGAGATATTGCACACAGGTGGGTATTGGGGATAGAGGACGGGGTCCAGGGCCGGGGCTGGAGATGCCGTGCTGCGGGGCAGGTGAGTGGAGTGGGTTTGGGAGGCTCATCTCAAGCAATGCAACGGTACTGACGTTGTCGAGGAAGCAGGAGGATCAGAACCAGGTAAGCAGTCAGCAGGGTGGACGAATCGGGCTGGGAGTGGACGTGAACCGGGCCTTAAGGGTCTGGAACGCATTGTCAGCATCGGGAGACCAGCAGAATTGCACCTTGGAGGACGTCAAGGCGGTGAGGGGGGCGACCACGGAGCTGTAACAACGGATGAACCTCTGGTAAAAGTTGGCGAACCCCAGGAACTGTTGCAGCTGTTTACGGGAACCAGGAATGGGCCAGGCAGTGACAGTTGAAACTTTGGTGGGGTCCATCTGGATGCTACCTCGGCCGACAATGTACCCCAGGAAGGAGACTGAGGAGGCATGGAACTCACTTCTCTGCCTTAACAAAGAGGGAGTTCTCGAGGAGCCTCTGCAGTACCACTTGGACGTGGTGGACGTGTTCCTCGCGGGACTTTGAGAAGATCAGGATGTCGTCAAGGTACACAAAGACATGTTTATTGAGCATGTCTCGGAGGATGTCGTTTACCAACGCCTGGAAGACTGCTGGGGCGTTGGTGAGACCAAAGGGCATGACCCGATACTTGTAGTGGCCTGTGGGGGTGTTGAATGCCATCTTCCACTCATCTCCTTCTCTGATGCGAACCAGGTGGTAGGCTTTGCGGAGGTCCAGCTTAGTGAAGATCGTGGTGCCCTCCAGGAGTTGAAAAGCAGAGGAGATGAGGGGCAATGGTTACCGATTCTTCATAATGATGTCGTTCAGTCCTCGGTAGTCTTTTTCTCCATGAAGACAAACCCAGCACCAGCTGGAGAAGAGGACGGACAGATGATGACAGCTACCAGAGAGTCATTGATGTACATCTCCATGGCGGGCGGTTCTGAACCAGAGAGGGAGTAGAGGCAGCCACGAGGAGGCGAGGACCCAGCTAGAAAATCAACAGCACAGTCATAGGGGCGATGAGGTGGCAGAGAGGTGGCCTTGCTCCTACCTGATCTCTCTGGTGTTTTTCCACTCACCCCGCCTTTGTCTCACTCTCCACTCTGCCACACCTCCCTCATCAGCCTCACTGTCCCCACCTCCACTTACTCATGGAGCGGGTTCGGGAGGCTCACGAGTTGGAAGGAAGGCAGGCAACAGTACCGTTAAGGAGCAGGCTGGAGATGTCGTTGAGGAATCAGGAGGATCGGAACCAGGTAAGCAGCAGGGTGGACGAACTGGGAAGGAGCGGGTAATCAGGGCCAGACAAAGGATCAGGAAACCAGCAGGGAAGTACTCAAGACAAACCCACTAATTAAGCCGGGTAGACGAGGCAGGAGTCTCTGATGGTAAGGATCCCGCAGGTAAGACAGGTGGGAACCTCACATAGCAACATCAGAGCTGGGGAATGCCAAACAGCAGACGGGAACCAGGAGGGGTACAGGCAGAAGGCTGTGGCATTTACCGGGGCAGAGACGAGGCAGGATAGTCAGAGACGAGCAGGGTCGATAACAGGAAGTTGGTCCGGAGATGAACGCTGGAAAGTCTTGCATAATACAGAGAACAATTTGGCAATGAGTGAGTGGACCAAGGCTGCTTAAATACTGGCTTAATAGGAGATGGATTGCAGCTGAGAGCAACAGGTGGGGACAGTGAGGCTGATGAGGAGGTGTGGCAGAGTGGAGAGTGAGACGGAGGCGGGGTGAGTGGTAAAACACCAGAGAGATCAGGTAGGAGCAGAGGCAGATTGTAACAGGTTTTTCACCGAAATTGTCCTCACAATTATAGAAAGACATGTACATGTGCTGATTTGCTTTAGAGATGCTCTCATACTTGAGAGTAATAATAGTAAGAGTTAATGAGTCTAATCAGTCAATAAGAATCAGCTTCGTGTGTGTGTGTGTGTGTGTGTGTGTGTGTGTGTGTGTGTGTGTGTGTGTGTGTGTGTGTGTGTGTGTGTGTGTTCGTTCACAGAGATCAAAGAGTCTCTTAACGGGCTGTTTCGAACATCTTTGTCTAGCTGGAAGACAGAGCTGACACAGAGCTGAATGAGATTTTGGCTCCGCGAGCCACTCAAACAACTGCTATTTCTGAAAAACCAGTAACTCTTATCAAAACCATGGGCAAATCATGAGCAGGACAAGAACTTCAGGCACTGATTATCTGGCTTTGGTGTATCTAGAGCCAAAAATGTGGACACAGGAGCGAGTTACAAAAAAGGGTCACTTCTGCTTTTCTCAGGATATCAGCCCCTGAATTTGTATTGCAGTCAATGGGAGAGTCGGAGGGTACTCCCATCACTTTGAGGCTCTCTGTTCAAAATCTAAATCTCTGTGCTTAGGTAGACACTTTCTATGAAACAGCACAAAATGGTCTACTACCAAGGAAGCCATGATTTGTCAAGAATGAATTATGTGGTCAGAAGGACAAGAATTTTTTTCAGAGTTCTACAGCTTCTCCCACTCTACTATGATGTCATCCACTCTAGCTCTGAACATTCTATGCAATGCACACCCATTATAAAATCTGAAATGGTCTAAAAATTACGCAAAACGTAAACTGCAATTTTGTGTGAACTGTAATAGTTATCAAAATACTGATTTATCCCAAAAGAGTCTCAAGTCTTGTAACCCGTTTAACATTTCAACCATTTCTCTACATTGAAGTATGACGCAGCAGTAGAGCTCCAAAGAGGGCTGGGTTTGGTCATTTTCAAGATGTCTCCCCATTCATTCTCTTTAGTCATATGTATTTTTATTGAAGCAGTTTCGGCCATATAGATAATACAGGTAATACATTTCAGTAAATGGTGAATGAAAGAAAAAAAATTTAAATAATTATAAGATAAAATAATTTAAAAAATAAACAAACAATAAAAAAAAAGGGGAGGGGGGCGTATGGTTAGGTGCATGTGTGCAGCCAAATCAAACGGGTAAATTAGTCAGATTCAAATTCGTATGGAGGGTAGGATGGACACAGTCAGATTCAGTGTGGGTTTTGTCCAAAAACGTTGCAAAGGACAACCAGATCTTATTAAAATAAGCCAATCTGTGTTTCAGAGCAAACCTGATTCTTTCCAGGTAGAGAACATTCATTAAGCGGTTTAGCCAGTGTTTAATTAAAGGGGTTTCTGGTCTGCTGTTATGAGGCCATAAGC